CCCCCCTCCCCGCCGCACCTTTTGTTGCATGGGCACAATTGTCATTCATTTTATTTTTGATTGGTTTGCTTTCGTTCCTCTGTGCAGGTGAAGATGCGGCAGGAAGCCGTGGCGAAGGCTACCAGGGAGCTGGAGGCCGACCGGGAGCGCATGGCCAACGACGCCCGCAGCCTGCGGTCCCAGCTGGAGGTCGCAGTCTCGAGGAACAAGCAGCTCGCGGCGGACAGGAATGCGTTGCAGGTGGGTGGGTCTGGCCGGGGGCAAGCCGGACCGGAATGATATGCTACCTTTATGGCACATTCTGTGCTGTGTGATTGTTGAATGCAGCCGATCGATGGCTACGACGGCGGCCCCCAAGGATGAGCTATTGTAGCTTCCAAGTCACCGAAGGACGTGTTGGGGCGGGGTTGCAGGGAGAGCGGAGCGGTCGGCGCTGGTATCGTCCCTTGATACATTTTGTGTCGTGTGGCTGGTTCAACTTTTTTTTTTTTTTTCATGTTTATCTGGTAGGGTCGTCGCGCTCGTGCGCTTATGTTCTCGCTGCTGTGGCCGGCACCGCCCGCACTGCAACATTCGGTGCGTCGGCGTCCTAGAGATGCGGACGTCTCGCCTTGTCTTGTGCACGCCCCAATGGTTTCCTTCCACTCCGTGCATACAACGCGCCTCCATTTATTTGAGTGCGCAGCCAGCCGGCGAGGTCTGGAGACCTCTACCGCCGCGAGACGCACACGAAGTAAGACGCCGAAATTTTTCTTCTGCGGCCGCTGCTGTGTCGACGTTGCTCCAGTTTCCGTGTAGATTGCTCAAATCAACGTCGCGTGTGTTGTGTGGTTGGGGTCCTGTGCAGAACGGCGACGCGCGATATCGCCATTTTGGCAGAGACGCCCGCCGATTACCTCCCCCCTGGCGCCTTGACAAACTGTCTCGAACCCGCCGTGTGGCCAGGCCACGTGGTCGTTGCCGTTACCGAATGTGGCTTGTGTCAGCAGTAGCCTTGGCGAGGACATTATTGAGCTTGGTTTTNCCCGTTTTTTTGTGAGTTTTGCGATTTTATTTTATTTTTTTGCGATTTTGGATTGTTGTTGTTGTTGCTGTTGTTCCGCGCAGGAAGAGCTTGCGTCCGCAGCGTCCACCCGGAAGCAGCATGAGAAGAGGGCACACCAGCAGCAAGAACAGCTCAAGAAGGCAGAGGTAGGCAGGATTACCGTAGTCGACGTTGTATCTGTATCGATTTTCAAAGCCCGATTTCTGCGGAGGAGAAAGAGAGCGGCAGTACCGAACATTACGGCGGCGTTGAAGTCGTCTTGCCTGTCTTGTCGAGAGAAAACTTTCCTGAAAAAATTTGTTTTCATTTTTGAATCCTGTTCGTCGTGGAGTAATGGAGCTTTGAAAACCGTTCCAGGGGGTGTGTTGTATTGTGTCATGTCACGTATGGTAAGCGATAGTATTGTGTGTAGGTGTGTTTTCTGCTGTTTCTGTAGTGTGTGCACATGTGTTTGCCGTGTCTACCTTGCCCGTTTTTTTTTTTGCATCCCTTGCAGTTTGTTTGCCTTATGATTGGTTTCCTTGCTTTTGTCTCCGGAGTAAGTTCGCGGTACGGCCGTTCATTCCCTTTCCTGCCTTTCGTGCGGATTGGGACAGCCTCTCCTGGTTGCTCACGGTGGAAACGAACCGTAAATGAGCAAGCGGTATGAGGTTGGCGAATGTCAACCATTCCGCCGGCGTGACACTTTCTCCGCAGAATGGCATGGGCTTGCTCTTACCCTGACCTTCACCGCCACCTCCGCGGTCTCCTCCGCCGCGGCCGTAACAGCGCGGGGCGCCATGGAGGCTCGCCCCTCTCCTTTTCGCCCCTGTTGAAACCTTGAGGTCCCCTGCCGCGCGATCTTCCTCTCAACGACTACTGTTCTGTGACATCGGACTTTGACAATTATGTCCCCCTTCCCCCCGTCGGTGTTTGCCATCGGGATTGGGTTTTCGTCGCTTGGCAACGACGTTGTAAAACAAGGCCCACCATCGGTGTTTGCCATCGGGATTGGGTTTTCGTCGCTTGGCAACGACGTTGTAAAACAAGCCAATTCACTTCGTGAACTCGGCAACCAGGTTACCGTTTTTTTTTTCTTCGCTTTTTTTTTGGCGGTATCCATGATGGTGGTCGAGTGGATCATGTTGTGCGGGGTGGAGAACCCTCA